CATGTAGCCCAGAGGTTAAAGTAAAGAAAGAAGAAGAAAAAAAAAGGAAAGAAAGGCAGTGCCGAAGTAACATATTTATATAATGCATCTGAAGTTTGACATTGGTATGTATTTTCCCACTGTAAGGAGATAACTTTTCCTATGGTTGTAGGCTGGCTGAACAAAATTGAAATAGGCATAGACAATTTTGGTCCCAATTTTGATTAGATATCATATGCTATTGAAAATAGTGCTTCCCTTGTTGACTGTGGATGAGTTGATGTCGTCGGGGGAGTGCACAAAAGGTAAACTCATTCATAGTTCAACTTAATCGCTGTGGTCACAAAATCAAAGGACATAAATCTTTTTCTCTGCTCATTTAAATTTATTTCTCTCCATTGATTCTCATGATTGAAAGAATGACACGTTCTCTTCCAGTCCAGTCATCTTGCTTATGAGTAGTGGAGAAAAATCAAATAAAAATTGATTTCCATTGCAGTTTAAATATAATTACGGTAGGATGGAGTGAGCAGTGTAAACTCTACGACTGCAAAACCACATTTGATTCATTTCAGTACATGTAATTTAACGCTGATGTGCAGAAAGCGCCCAGGCCAAGGATGAAGCCTTGGTTCTGTTCGGGATCTAGAATTTATAAGATATGGGGTCTTGCAGATCTATAGACTTGACAACCATAGTCATCCTTTGATTTGACAAGAGAGCAGTGGAGGTGGTATGCAGCTGTCTTTCCATAGATCTTACTTAAGGATGTTTATGTTGATTTGGAGGGCCTGAAAGATGAAATTCATTTTAATTTCAAAGAGGAGAGGAGTAAGGATGCTTCCCTGGGAACACCTTCCTCCTGTTTTTATCTATTGTTATATACTTCCATGTCCTCTTTCGACTCACTATTAGCCAAGTATCATGTTTACAAAAAATAAGACCTCAAAACCTGGAGGGGAAACACTGAAGTTTTGATTAGTAAGGAATTAAATTTTTACAAAAACAAAACAAAAAGAATCATACTGCTGGTTTTTCTGCAGGGATCTGAGGAGGCGGAACTGGTGCTCAGCTATGATGCAGGTGTGAGGTTGACCTGCATGGCAGTGTACAGACCTGGTTCAGATACACAGCAGAAAGGTACGGACAATATGATGAAAGTAGTCTAGTTTTCAGGTTTTTTAGTTTAGTAGAACTTTACCAGAAGGCCTGAATTAGTCATGCATAGTGTAATTAATTTGAATTGATATCCGTCTATAGGGACCATTGTCGCCTGATAGCTTTGCCCGCAATTTTGGCCTCTGTCAGGGTTTTCCTGTAACTAATAACATATTTTCATGATACTTAAATCGTGTGCGATTGCTTTTGTAGAAAATTGATACAAAAGTGTTTAATTTAGTACTAGTACAGAGTTATGCCTTTTTCTTATGGGAAAAGAGGGTAATTCTCAGACAGGGCTTTTAGTGGAGTTGTGCTCTTGGATTTTAAAAAAAACAGCGATTCTTTCACTTTCTTTCCAGTCCAGGTTTTGTTGCATCCATTGTCTCTGGATGTAAGGTTCATTGTAGACCATTTTAGTTACATAAATTAAATTAACATTTCTGCAAACTCCTAATTAATGAGACTAGAATGTTTGTTGCTAGAAAATCTGTTGTATTGTCAAAATATGATTTGTTATTGTTATTGTTTATTTTCTTTTGTTGCCTTCGTGGCAGCAGAAACTGAAGGTCAGGAAGAGAAGCAGCTAAGCAGGGTGAAAAAGGCCAAACGCAGGTCAGATGACATTAATAATGAGGAGGGAGAGGAAGAGAGCGACACACAAGAAGAAGAAAGTACAGCTAAAGTGGGACAGAAGTCTAAAAGCAAGCCTAAGCAGAATGGAAAGCCACAGATGAAGACATCAGGGTTCGAGTCTACGGCACAACCAGTAAAGAAGCAGAGACTGGAAAAAGGTAAGTTTACTACAATTGCAGTGGAGTCTGCTTTTTAACCAAAGTCTGCAGGACCACCGGTTTTTCTTTACTTTGGCTGAGTTTTCGGTTTAGAGAGGTTGCTCTAGTAGAAGAGAAAAAAAAATATGGGGATTTTCTTTTCTCTCGGTTTAAGGCTGTTTTCATATCAACCATGTGCGGTTTACGCGAGCTCGGCTGTATGTATTCATTGTCAGAAGATAATATATGAGGGTATAAAGATGAACGGGGTTGTTGTGGTCTAAGATGTATGTTCGTCTTTCAGTCAAAAGATCCCAAGATCGAAACCTTCCAGTGACCAAAAAAAATTTCCAGAGATTTTCTTTGTCCTTTTGTTCTCCAGTTTTACTCTCTTTCCCCTCCTCTTTGCTGAAGCTACTACTGCTGCTACTGATACTACTACTACTACTACAAAAGTCATGAAAACTTTCATGGTTGACAAAAAAACTAAGAAAAAGTAATTCATGTTTGATTGTGTTTGCTTGTCCTGTGAAGCAAGTTTATTGAAAATGTCACTAAGAAACATGGATAATGGTCATGTTTTACCTCAAGTGGGACCCCCCTGAGTGCTCTGTTTTACAACCACTGTGAGGTTTAATGGAAGTTCAAAGATTTAACGATGGCGAGATAATGAGGGGGACAAGTCAGGCAACAGATAGGCCTCAACTTTAGAAATATGCCCGTGTATGCTATCTTTTCATGCAAGAACAGTTTTTTTTGGGTCCTATTTTGAAAGTTAATAGGGTTGACGTAGTGTGTGTACATTGATAGAGTGACTTTTAGATGAGAAGTAGTTTTGCTGACTTTCTGAGCCTCTGATAGGAGTTGCCAATTCCATGTCAGGAATTTATTGTAATCTCTATGATGAGAAGGTGACACACATACACATTGTTGCAGTCACGCTAATCATGAATAACTAGAAATTGGGTGTGTCACTTGCTAGCATCTTATAACTTATTGGGTCCCACCTTCTCTATTCGTGTATTAGATGCGATAGCTTGAATCATTAGAACATTGTCTTCTTGAATATAATTCCTATGCTTGGTCTCTCTTTAGAGAGATTAGTGTCTTTCAGTCAGCAGTGCAACAACCTTTCATTTACACACATAAGGATTTTCCTCACCACAAAGGTGGAATGAGATCTATGAAGATTTGCAGGTGCTTGTTACAGTAAGAGTAAAGCTTATTGTTGCTGGCATGTATTAAGCTGTTCAGTGCCTTGATTTTAAAAAACAACAAAACAACCTTTGCAAAAAATAAGCCTGTCTGTACAGCCTTTTTTTTTTCTTTTCACAGTTCAAAGAACTTCAGAGACAGTGATGACAAAGAAAAAGAAGCTGAAGGGCAAAAAAAAATAAAGTTTGTTGAATTGATCTCCAAAACGACTATTGTGTTTGTGTTATGGTACTGTTTTCATGCTACTTTCAATGTTGAAAGGTTGTCTCAGACTAATATGCAATGCCCTTAATTTAGAGTAACTCTATCCATCTCAGAAACATCCCCAAAACTACTGTTGTGTTTGTGAATATGGGTGCTGATTTCATGCTACTTTCAAGGTTCTGAGGTTGTCTTTGTTTTGTTTTAATAAGTGCTTTTGGCACTTGCAACACAATAAGATCATACAAGTGCCGAAGATAGACGTGTTCGAAGAGAGTCTGCAACAAACACAAAAAAGGAGGGGAGATAAGGACAATAGTTGTTGGGTTGGAAAGAAGGACCAAACCACACTAGAGCACCCGCAAACCACCCACAGAGGTTGTCTCAGACTAAGAAGCAGCACCTTTAATTTTAGTGTAACTCTATCTGCCTCAGAATTAAGACGAGTTAGTGGGGAGCCACAAAAACACCTCAAGCAGCAAAATGCATTGTCAGGGGTCTGAACCAGGGTGGCCAGCACATAAGTTTGGCATGTGACGAACTGAGCTAACTGTAAACCTGAAGTTTGTGGTGAGACAGTTCTTATGTTTAAAGCTGATTGATTGGGAATATCTATGTTTTTCAGAACTCTTGCTTTGACCCTATGAACATATGAGGCAGACTGATTGATCATCCTTGCCTGTAAGGGCCAACTCAGACTGTTCATTTTAGTAGAGGTTTTACGGCGCTTGCAACGGCATAAGGTCATATGAGCACCAGAAGATTAGAGGAGTTACAAGAGAGTAACAAACATAAAAAAGAAGGAGGGGAGATAAGGACTATAGATGTTTGATAGGAAAGAAGAAGTAGACTGTGTGAGTAGAACATGACAGAATACATATTTAATAGAATGACAAAGCACACAGAAAGAAAAAGTAACCTTACAGTGTAAAATGAAAATCCAGAGATGCCAACCAGTACGATTTTACGTATTTTAGTACGATTTTTGGCCGAAAATACGCGAATACGACTTTTCATGAAAAAATACGCATCCTGTAATGCGAAAACTACGAGATTCAGCTTGGGCGAGTAAACTTAATTAACTCAGGTCCCATCTTTTGTCAAAATAGTATCAGTATCGCAGAACTGGAATATTTGATAACCAAGTCCGATGTCAGTATTGCCGGTCGCGATCGTGATATTATATTCGTTCATCTTTTCCCCGTCTGGAGAGTACGTTTCACTTTCACTCGAAAAGGCAGCTATGGCGGCAGGCGGAAGCGTATGTGACACCGAGGCTCGATCGGGAAAATCAAGATCTACTTTCGCTTTCGTTACCACCGAGAAGTTTGCCAGCAGTTGTCTGATAACGCAACATTTGTGGCATGCAGGTTGTGCAGTATAAACACAATGTCGCCGTTCAAATAAAATGTAATAAATACTCTGACTCGTCGCTGTGCTGTCACTTGTGGAAAAAAAAGAAAAGAAAATACAAGCGTCGTCCGATTTTTAGATTGTCTGGCTCGCCATCGTGACCGGTCACTGACTCTGTGCGCATTCGCATCACAAATAAATGCGGCATCGTGTGAGCAAAGACCGTCTTTGTGGGAGTAACGGCCTTGCGAAGTATATGACTACGGAATAGGGGAGGAGATTATTGATTTTTTTTTGGGTTTAAGATACTATCGGGGGTTTAAGGCAACACCAGAGGACAAAAACTTGGAAGCACTTTTCAGAATTTTGATTAGAGCTTTCTGCAAAGCGCTCGTTGGTGCAGGCCATATGTGGAATCGGGACCCCTCATACTTTGCAAGTCTGTGTTATTGAAATAAAGTGTTCGCGTTTCATTGGATGGGTGATAGTAAATTATACCTACTTGGATTGGTGATAGTAAATTATACCTACAGTGTATGTTGTAGCTTTCTGTTCAAGACTGGCAGATTTTCAGTGTCACTGCATCTTGCCCTACCACAGTTGTTACAACTCTCACAGTGCATGGGTCTACTTGAGCCATTCAAGTTATTGCTTTTCTCTGAGTTAGAGCAATAATTTGAGTCTGTCAGTTCATAATATGAATCATGACACCCAGACTGGTTCTTGATAGTCGAAATTCTTGTTCTAGGCCCTTCCGAACCCTCAAAACAGGATTTATTTTTTATATAATAATAATGAGAGGAAAATATTATATAATAGACTGAAATACTTAAGTCAAACAAGACCCCAGTACAACATTGAACACTGACATGTTGTTGACTGGATACATGTATATATTGTACGCGTGTGTGCTCCCTTTTTCGAGCTGGTGAGCTAGTAATTTTTTTTCAGGAAATATTGCTGGACACCCTGAACATTTTACTATTACTGGTTGGTCGACCATCAATGATTTATTTATAGAGGCACCAGCCATCCATGTCCAGGTGCTGTTTTAGCCTACTGGTCGGTCAGTCGGTCTTGGGGAATACACATTTTCGCCTGAAAATACACATTTTCATATTTCCCAATACTCATTTCGGTTTTCTGTGGTTGGCATCTCTGAAAATCATATGTTAGGAGAGACTCTTTGTACATCTTAAACTTCCCTAGTGACAAGTACAAACTATCATTTTGAAACAAAAAAGATTCATATTATTTTATTTTTAATACCAACCTGCGGTACAGTCGTCAAAATAGAAAGAATTTATGGCATGTGAACACATTCAGAACACATACTTGAAGATTTGACAAATGTCAACAGTGTACAGAATGAGTAGAGATGAACATGAAAGGATGGAAGTTTCTATACCAAATCAGAGGAAAATGAATCATGCCATTCTATGACATGCAGCCCTCAAGGTATTCTCAAACCATGAAAACTGAACTCTGCATTTCTTCTGTAATGTGTCTTTAAATTTGTCGGTTTTCAATTTTCAGTAAGAAATACCAAAGGTTATTATTTTTTTAAGAGTGCAGAACCATATCGAGGGCTATCTATTTCAAATTCAAGGTTCTAAGATCTTCCTCTAAACAATATATGTAAAATAGAAGAAAATGTAACCTTTACACCAAAACATAAACTAAAGAAATAATTTTTCCCTGTGAGTGTTAAACTCTGATTATGAATTAATAGAAATCATAGAGTAAAATCCAAATGTAAATTCCAGCAAATTAATGCATGCATAATATAAACTTCTTTAAAAAGTGCTGCTCTGTTCAACAAAACTTGAAGCGAACTCCTCCTGGACAATTTAGACTGACATGGCTCTGTATGCAAGTCGTATTACCATAAGTAAGCTGAAATAAACAAAAGAATACAACTTAGGAAAGCAATACATTTTTATAAATAAATAAAAATATCTCATGTAGGCCTACCATGGCACTAAATATCAGAACAAATTCATCTGTCACTTAACAACACAGGAAAAAATAAAGATCAGACTTCACCTCTCAGCTTAAGCCAAAAAGTGATGCATTGTTGCAGTTGAAGCTCAGTCTCAGAGCCCTGTAAATAAGGTGTCTCCTCACTTTGTAAGAACAAAGCTTTTCTCTCTGTCTCTGTCTCTCTCTCTCTTTATCTCTCTCTCTCTCTCTCTCTCTCTCTCTCTCTCTCTCTCTCTCTCTCTCTATATATATATATATATATATATATAATATCTAGATCTATATATATGTTGTTTCTATAGGTCTGGATGTTCTCAAATGGGAAGAAAGTTATCAGTGAAATGCAACGAAGCCGCACTGGCTTTCAGGTCATTTAATGGGAGTTGCTTCAACAGTGTGTAGATTTATCAGTGAAATGCAACGAAGCCGCACTGGCTTTCAGGTCATTTAATGGGAGTTGCTTCAACAGTGTGTAGATTTAATTAGTTATGAGTACTAAAAAAAAAGACCAAGTTAGCAAGGGCTGCACTCCCTGTCTCTGGTGTAGAGGTTAGGCTTTTTGCTGTCGCATACAGAAGACATGAATTCAATTCCAGAGAGGGGAGAATTTGTATTTTTATTGAATGCAATCTGTCTGCTAGGACATTGTAGTTGTAACACAATCCCCCCCCCCCTTACGCCCAGGTTGACATTGACAGGCAGGGTTGAAGCCCTCCTCCAACATGAGATCTAATTTGTTTTGATGGGGGCATAAAACATAAAACTTCTACAATATAACACTCGCAGGGTCACACTTCTCACTGAGCTGGCAGGTTGGGTTATGGCCAACGGGCCATCTATTCTGTTGCACATCCTTGTCCCAAGGCATGGTAGCTTTCTTATCTGTTTAGAATCTGTCTGATCTTGTCACTATATTTTAAAAATCATATTACAGTACAATGAACTATCCGCCTGCTGTATATTTCAGAGAGTCATCTATAACTGTTCACTACTTTAATGTTTATTTTTGAGCTTGTATTGATGAATTCCACTCCTGCCACCTGACAGTGTTCACCACTGATTTTTTGCATTGAATTGACAGCTGTGCTGAAACCAATAGCCTACTTCTCACTTGAAAAGTCATTAAAACAGAAGAGACAAGAGTTTATTCATTTCTGAGTATAACAGGCTTGACCAATATTTTTCAATCAAATAAATGACAAATTTATTTAAAATGTCAGAAAGAACATGGACATAGATGCTGTTTTCTTGACACAAGGGGTCCACTGAATGCTCGTTTTACATTTTATCATCACACTGAGGTTAGAACATCATCTTCATTTGGTTCACTATTTAGGATTTTTCATCTCCTGTTTTCAGTTTATGCTGTGCATTGTCAATTCAACTTGCAATAATACAAACCAAACGGTTTGATTCAACTATTTAAAGTCCTTCAAACTAACCACACTGGACAACTAAATCAGCATAACACGATTAAAAAAGTCCTAGTATCTGCATACTAAGCAGAGGCTTGGTTAAGACTATAGTGCTTGTTCACATCGCGAATGTCAAAGTGACCATTTATAATGTAAATTTCATAGGCCATTGAGGTATTAGGTTTAGATATCATTTTGCACTGCAGTATTGGGAAAGTGGTATCTCCTCACCTGAGAGTTCCCACCAAGCCAGCAGGCATAAATTTGCCTGAATTTGAGAACCTGTATCCCATGACGCCCGTCAGCACAGCAGACGTCACTGAAGGTGAGAGAAACATGAGAACATATTACTTATATGAAGTAGGTCTACTAAAGTAAATCAATACATCCCCCCATACATAATATGCTATAACATGAAAGTGTCTATAACTAAATGAACTACATGTATTACCAGATGATCAATAACCATAACAGCTTAAACTTAAAATACACCTCTTGACATTATTATATATATATCAAAATGAACCTGATCAAAAAAAGAAGAGGGAATGCTATATAAAGAACAGGGGTACTGTCTTATATTATTCGAAGTTAAATGAAACAGCTCATTATCCAAGCAAAGTGAGTATGAAGGGCTATAAGAGTAAATGTTTTACTTCTAGATCCAGCCACAGAACAGAAATAGTAAAATCACTCAAACTAAAAGATCAAACAAAAATAACAGAGCAGAGTATTTACCCAAAGACAAGGTGATATTTTTAGGGTCCTGTCCCATCTGAAAAGCTCCAAACATCATCAAAGTCCCACAAGCAACTCCCATGGCTAGGGACGGAGCACTTCCTGAAATGGCGTTTCAAAATATAACTCAATATAAATAATTTAAAAAAAAATAATAATTACTGTTCACATAGTGAGTACGGTAGCTTTGACTTTTATTTGCATCCCAGTCTCTAGTGCTAAGACTGCTGTTTGCTGCAGATCCCCCATACTCGCTAGGTTTAGGAAAGAAGACTTCCTCCTAAGTGCTTCATGCACTGGGCAGGCTTTTATGCTGTTCAGCCGCCTAACCCGCATCCTAGACAGTGCCCTGGGATGCTGGCAGCTGATCCTACACTTTGTATAGAGATGGTAATTCTGGCAGTTTGACCTGTTCTGAATCTGAAGAGAACCTTCATCATCATCACAGACCAAACAATTCCCCTTTTTCTTGAAGAATAAAAATTTGTATCATGTTGGCACACTTTTACTTTTATGTTTAACTTAAAAAAATATACCGGCACCAAAATCAGGACACTAGGGGTCAGCTTGGTTGCATTGTGGGCGTTCTTTCTTACACTTTGCATGTAGCCCCACACTGATAATGGTTTTTAGGCTCTGACTCTGAATGAATGAAATATAATTTGTCCTTTTTTCAGGCTGCTTTGATTGAAACTTTTTTTTATTTGGGAATCTCATATTTCATTTCATTCCCCATTTGCAACTTCTCTGGACCGCTTGTGCTTATGATACAGTACAGGTGTTGCAAAGACACTAAGCAAGAAAAAAAACAAAAAAACCCAAACATATTTCATTTACAGTGGAAACCATATATAACAGGCCCGGTAATAACAGGGATCCGGTAATAACAGGGATTTTTTAAATCCCCGTTTTTTCCCACTCATTGTCTTTATTAGAAAGTATCGGCAGTAACAGGGCCTCACTGGAGCCCAATCGGTTATAGCAGCGACAAAGGCTCATTAACAATGTGTAAAAAGTAAGAGAGAGAGAAATGCAATGATGGAGCAAGCCCATGCAAGCCACGCCACTGCAAGCACACGCAGCGGGTGAAGCGACAGAAGGCTACGGTGTGCTGCAGACTTCCTTTTACTTTTAGTCTAAGCCTAGCTACACCCACGCGTAATGTGTCATGCACAGGCCTGCCACATGATGGCCAAAACCCCTGTTCATGGGTACTTGTGGCAAGGGAAACTACCCATGAATAAATACAGCTGAATTAGTTCACAAATGCTTATACTTCCCTTGCATTTCTGATATAACAGGGATCTGATATAACAGCACTTTTTCTCTGGTCCCACCATCCCTGTTATATCAGGTTTCCACTGTATTTTCCCTCATCAGAAGGAAATGGTAGAGTGCTACATCTGTCGCCCATTTCACTATTGTGCTGAAACCTGTACTTTAACATAAGAAGGGAGTTAACTAATATCAAGGGACTGAGATGATTGCATCCGTTCCTCCCTTTACACAGATTCATGTAAACGCACGCTCCGTATAAATACACACTAAGGAGCCCGCCCGACCATCATGCGTTTAGGCAGAGACTACGTACACTTAAGGGCCCCCTTGAGCACCGTACGTTTATATGCCAGAGACTTCACTAAGGAAGTTCAAGTGCCTTAAGCACACTACAGAGGAATCCTGTTATAACGAGAGGGAGGGGACCGGTACGAAATGTCCGTTATAGCAGGATCCTCGTTAGAAGGATCCAGTAATAAATTCAAAGGAAATAATAAAGTAGGCCTAATCTATGAGTTTGGTGTTCTGTTTATTTCTTTTTGTTATCTCCCCTGATGATGGTGTTGCTCAACAAGACCTCTAGGTCTTACTTGATCAAAAATTGAATCAGATTTCTTTCTCTAGCGTTAGCAATGTTGACAGCTCGGCGTTGGCGATCACTTCTCTAGGCTAACTCGCCAACTGTGTTTTCCCCTACCCCACCACACCGTGTGGTGCGTTTCCGTGTCTGTTTGTGCACGTCACACATTCGCTCCATGATCCATCATAGTACTGTGACCTCTTCATCCCCGCATCGGAGAAGTAAGAGGCATGATAGGCCTAGATAATCTAGACTAGGCTGGTCTATCACTATCAGGCAATGCGTTCTGCTTCACAACGGCTTGTCTGCGCGTGCCACACCCTCCCTACTCATTCGCTCCGGCCTTCATTGTTGGCACACGTGGACTCTCCCATCCTTTTTTTCGCTAGATCACCAACAACTGGCGAGGTTTTACAAGGTATAAATGGCCTATACGCTGTGCACAGCAGCAGGAATATTCCGCTATAACTGACTCGTGCGTTTATCTGATTGCACTATAGCAGTATTTTATTTACAAAGATGAAGAAGAAAAAAATCGGGGTTTTAGAGTAATGTCTTTTATAACAGAATTCTCGTTATTTCAGGACTCGTTATAAGTGGACTCCACTGTACAAGAAGGTAATGTGCAATGATGAAGCTCGTTGATATGACCAGCAGTGTGAGCTGATATAACCTACTGTTGATGATGGTAGGTCGTTTGTCTGTTTTACATTGTGCTCCCAGGGCAATTTTAACTCGAGACAATTGTGACAGGAAAATTTTTTATCAGATTTTTCAAGATAAGCAGTTCAACAAAACCTTGCATGTATTCAAGAATACAGTGCTGCAACTACAAAGGCAAATAGAGTGGTTCAGTTGGGGTGATATATTGTTCGAGCTTTCTGTGAATTGGAGTTTTAGTGCTTTTGTGCCGGTTTCGAGTGCTGTAGGCCTATTCGACTGCACGATTTATATATAAAACCCCACCAGACCATTATGAAGGAAATGCTTGAAGGCAAGACAGGGGGCAGGGCCAAGAAGGATGGACAACGCATGATGTGATACAGCAAAGTATTTCTTGACTGTCTTAGAAAATGGGTGAAGAGCAGCAGGTTTGTACACAACAATGGCAGGTCATTTCACTGTATGCGAGTCCTAAACGTGTAGAAAGACTCATCTTCCTGATTGGCTGCTAATTTTAGTAATGTGATGTCAACACTTCCTGGGATACACACACACAGACTATTTCTATAATAAGGCCGTGGAGGTACCAAAGATCAGGCATACACTATACAGTAGAGAATCTTTGGATGTTACCGCATGGAATGACATGTTGGGACAGTGGACTCACTCAGTGGTTCGACGTATTAAAACCGCATCGATGTGTTTCGCACGATAAAATTTCACGCTTGCAGGTAACTGCAGCACGTCAGCCATGATCTGGTGATGGAAGATCGCTTATATCATTGATGCTCAGAACCGCAAGAACGCTGATGCTTGAAATTGAAACACCACGGTAAACGCAAAGACAATAAAACACGCGAAAATTGTCATAAAGACGCCCGGAGATTACCCCCCCCCCCCCCCCCCCCCGGGCCGGATAAACAATGCGCAGAAGAGATAAGCAGCAGCAGCATCTGAGAACTTCACCATTATATCACATTACCAGTACGTCTCCTGGAAAAACATCACACCAAACGTTGTGTCATGGCAGGTGTATACACGATCTTTGGTGTCATGCGGTTGGCCATGTTTAGATCATGTAGTCACATGATCGGAGGGGTATCCCCGTCTGACGTCACACAAGATGGCCACCTTACCTAAAAATAGTTTGCGTTGCTCTACGTTTAGCCGCATGTCGTCATTTCTCATTGAAATTATATTACACCCAACTTCTGTCTCTGATCCTAAACCAGGAGATGACACCTCCAGGTATCTGGGTATGGGAAGAATTTGGGTTATAAAAAGGCATAAACCAAGCAATAATGCCTACATAACTTTACATAAAATGATAACTGCAGTGAGGTTACTGAACACACAGTGCTACAAATGAAACAGAGAGAGAGAGAGAGAGAATGAATGTTTTACGGAACGGGTTGTCCCAGCCCGGGAGACGTGTATTTACTTGGCCTAATGTCCTGTCTTGTTGTGCATTTGCGTGAGTGCACCTTTAAGTCTTGCTTTTGTAACGTCTAGTTCCATTGTATCATAATCATTGTTAACGACCAAGACAAATTTCTCCCTGCGAGATGAATAAAGATTGTCATTGTCATTGTCACAACACTGCAAAACAACATCATCACCTACTCTACAGTAGATCTAGATCTAGAGTAGCCGACACAACAACACGTCACATGCATTCATCACGGAAATAAGAGCAGAGAACATGACATACGTGACAAAATACAAAAATACTACGTCTACATTACACAATAAAACACAACTATCTTACCAGCTTTGACATATCCTATTATTCCTCCGGTGGCGATTGTAGCAGCATATGCAGCTGTAATTAGGTCAAGAGACATGTTTGTAAAAGAATGTGGTTTGTCTGCTAATGGTCAAAGTTGCACTGGGAAGGAAGAATGTTGTCTCTTGTCTTGTCTGTCTACTTTAGTAAAGACTCTAGGCTAGCTGAGCTTACTTAGGCTACTAACTCCAGCAGAATCATTGGCATTCAGAGTAGACTCCCTTGACACACTGTGAATCCTTTGTTATCGAAACAATCCTTAGGAAATACACATTTATTGGCTAATTACTCTTCTAGAATCTAGTTGAATTATGAACCGATATTATCAAAATTTTTGCTCTATTCAATTTGACAATCAAGAAAGAAAAATTGGTTGAAGTAAGAAGCATCAAAGTAACCAATTTAAAGATATCAGAGAAGACGAGTGTATTTCATTTCTATGAAGTACAGCGTATGACAGAATCATTATTTTGTATCAACCTTTGTTGAAAGATGGCGGCGTCCACAAACCCAGGAACACAACAGAAAAGTATTGTCACTACAAAACAGGTTGGTTAGTGGGTGATTTTCAATTATTTGTGGTCAATCTTCTTTTGAATTGACTAATTCGGTAAGGATGGTAGAATCATTGTGAACTGTGCAATACACAAGGGTCTGAATGTCTATAGCCTACTAACTTCTCAGATCTTCCTCGTTCTCGATGACAGTGCCAGTGCTCAGCTAGACAGTCAGTCCGCGGCTAAGTCGCGCACAAACTGTGTAGTTCGCTTCAAATCTGACAGACTGCCTTAGAGCTTTCTTTCAAGGGGAGTCACATTCTGCCACGCCTGTGTACGAAGGGTGGCGTAGCGCAAGCAGTGCTGAAGGATATGGATGGCATCCTCTTGGACCTGTCCACGTTCACAGATCAATCGCTGCGGCGATTGTTAAGATTCCCGCGTTTAATTCCGATGTGCTTTTTTCATACCCTCAGGCATATTTCGCTTTGGTCCCTAACCCTAGGTTAGGGTTAGGGTTAGGGCCAGGGTTAGGGTTAGGGACCAAAGCGAAGTATGCCTGAGGGTATGAAAAACACACATCGGAATTAAACGCGGGAATCTTAACAATCGCCATCGCTGCCTCTCCTACTTTTAATTTGGTGTGCATATGGTATTTTTGAGTCTGTTGTGGCCACAACGGAGTCTAAAGATTGTGACCTGGTCTGCTCTATTTAGTATGTAGATTAGTAGGGGTCAAGTTAGTTGTGTTTAGGGTGGGACCTTTTCCGTCTGTTTCTCAAGGCAGATTTTATTAGTGTTACTAACTAACTTGTCCTTAAAAGCGACCATTTTAGAGCTGAAATTGATATAGTCTTTTGTGCCTCTCTTTGTTTATGTGTGTATGTGTACGAATTGAAATTGAAAATTACATGTACTGCTGGATCAAAGGCTACTTTAAGTTACCATGACAATTGTTTTGTTTGTGTGTTTTTGTAGGCAGCTGCTGATATAGCAGGTCATCATACAGAGATTGTAGTTAACAACTTCAAGGACCACTTGTTCATCATAGCCACCCAATATATGAAGCTTGGAACTGTTGTAAGTGGCTTTTTTTCTTTTTGTCTCATTTTGGCACTATATGGTGCTGCTGAATAGAATTTATATAATTATGACACATAGATTTCTGACCATTGTGTCAAAAGAATTGTACCTATGTTTCCTTTTAGGAGACCATAAAATGCAAGAGGGTGGCCAATTGTCAAACCTCAATATTACTCAAAGTAACTAACCTCAAGAATCTGTGTCAATGAAATGCCTCATCTAGCTTGAACACTAAGTAATTTAAGTATAAAAATGCTGGCTGGGAGGCTCTGTCCACACTTTAATAGTCAAAGTTACTCAAGAAATATTGAAGACTATTGCCACAACCATGGTGCCTTAGAAAATCACAGAGGACAATTATTCATACAGTACAGTCTCTCTATAACGACATTGTTGGTATATAGAGAGTTGTCATTATAGAGAGGCAACTAAAATATTACTAAGTGGGTGGTTGGTGGGTGCTCTGGTGTGGTTTGCTCTTTCTTTTCTTTCTAACATCTATAGTCCTTATCTCCCCTTCTTCTTTTTTATGTTTGTTACTCTCTTGTAACACCTCTAATCTTCTGGCGCTCATATGACCTTAC